GTCTCCGAGGTTCACGGACAGCAGACACTAATTAGCTGCTTTTTGTTCCCCCTCCTGATTAAAATGGGGACCCACTTCCTTCAGAATTTACTTGCAAACCAGGGGTGTCTGTTGATGGGGTTACTCGTAAGTTCTGGGGACAGTGCAGTGACCCCACAGCAGACACTCTGGTCCTGGTCATGGGTCCTGCTGCTCGCTCGGAGGCTGAGCTCAGTCCCAGGGGGCTGGGAAAGGAGGCGCTGGATGGAGCCAGGAAGCTGAGCACAGCAACTGGAGTTTGCGAGTGTGGGTGGTTTCTGTCCCCCTAGAGAGCCGGGCGCTTTGTCTGGGATTCTCCCCAGAGGTTGTACTTTCTGATTTGTCTCTGAATTCTACAGCCTTCACACCCCAGGGCAGAGCGTCACCTGCAGCTGCTCTAACAAACGCGCTCTGCTCTCTTTTGTAGCCTGGAGGCCAAGCTCTGACTCGATGTGGGTGGGGCCGTGCTCTGAACCCTGGTTCAGGGGAGGGCCCTTCCGTGTCCGTTCCAGCTTCTGGGGACCCCAGGCCTTCCTGGCTTCTGACGGCGTCACTCCAATCTCTGCCTCATTTCTCATGTGGCCGTCTTCCTTCTGTCTGTCTGTCTCTGTGTCTCTTCTTTCTTATAACACGGGTCCTGTTGGATGAGGACCCGCGCTTCTCCATCATGACCTCCTGCTAACTGATTTCAGCTTTCGAGAGCCTGTTTCCAAACAAGGTCATGCTCGCAGCTCTGGGGGTTCGGACTTCAGCCTATCTTTTTGGGGAACACTAATCAACTCATAGTACCTAGTGAAGAAGTGTTTGTGGGGGTTTTGACACGATGTTTTAATAGAATTTTAGGGGCCTTCCCAGTTGGGAGGGGCCTGCGCTGCCACCACGGTTGACCTGGAGCGTGTCCAGGTGCACAGTCACTCCGGACACGCCTAAAAAGCTCGGTCTAGCTGAGTTTGCCGCAGCTTTTAAGCAAATGCCCCACACCTGAAGCCAGATCCCGGGTGGAGAGCGGGGGCCCCAGGGTCCTCAGGAAGGGGCGCTAGGCCTCACGCAGGGCCCCAGGGTCCTCAGGAAGGGGGCGCTAGACCTCCCGTGGGTGCCCCCAAGTCGGTCCTCAGGAAGGGGGCGCTAGGGCTCCCACGGGTGCCCCCAAGTGCAAACCAAGAGAAGTTGAGGAGGCAGCCCAGCCCCCAGTGGCTCCTCAGGGGCCTCTTGTTCCAAATCCAGCCGTTCCCCCAGGGATGGTGAGCAAGCCCCACCGCTCAGTGGCCTGGTCCCCTGCCTAGGGGCCGTCCAGCTCTGGACTTGGTTGCGGCCCAGCCCCTCCCCTGCAGGCCCCTCTGCTGCCCCTCCAGCGTCACCCAGAGGTGACACAGCAGTAGCTGTGGTTACTCGACATCTCTGCAGGGACGTGTGGGCGGTGCTCTCTCTGAAGCCGGAACTCTGGCCCAGGTGGTGTTAAGACTCCAGAGTCAGCCTTCCTGCTAAGCAGCCACAGGCTGAGCCTCGGGGTGCAAGTTCCCTGTCCCCAAGGCCTAGCAGGCTGTCCCCTCAGCTCACCTGGCCCCCACTCGTTCCTCTCTCAGAATCAGAGGCCTTCGTGCTTAGGTGGGAGGGGCAAAGTTTCCTCAACCCAGGGTCTGGTACACCCTGACTTGCTGTCTCTTCTTCTCTCTGGTCTCCATGCCCCCGAACTCCCTCCGTCCAGCTCCATCTGGATCCTCCTGAAGAATCCCACGTTCATCCTGCTCTGCCTGGCCGGGGCCACGGAGGCCACACTTATCACCGGCATGTCGACGTTTGGCCCCAAGTTCTTCGAGTCCCAGTTCAGCCTCAGCGCCTCAGAAGCGGCCACTTTGTTTGGTGAGAAAACTCCCTGGATCTCGGGGGGAGGTCTCTGCTTTTCCATGAGTTCTCAGACAAGTGAAGGGTCTTTGAAGACATCTTCTAGAAAGACCCTCACAGGGCTGCTCCAAGCGGGAGCACAGGCTGTGGGGGCAGGACCACCCGAGACTGGTGCGGATGGAGAGCAGCTTTGGGCTTTTCGCCAAGTTCCCGTTGCTGCACGATAGTCAGGCGGCAGGATGAGCGGGCTGTCCCTCCACGAGGGCTTGGTGAGCTCTGGCTGCGGCTCCTGGTGGCTGACCAGTCCCCCACGTCAGGACCAGTTCCCAGTGGGACGGTGGCGTCCATCCGAGCGTACTGCCGGCAGCTTTGGCTGGAGGGCTGGGGGGCTCCAGCTCACCGGGCCCCCTCCTGGCCCCAGTGCCCCGGCCGCAGGCATCAATGGCTAGCTGAGAAGGTTTGGGGGCAACGCCCATTGAGTGCCCAGACTCCAGGCCTGGGTGCCCTGTGAGCTGGGCACCCACTGTCCCAAGGCTTAACCCCACTGGCTGGATCACCTGCATCTGCCCGGTGGGTGCATCCTGTGGTCAGGGGCTGGTTGACCCTCCTGGGGCTATGGGGGTGGGGTGCCTCCTCAGACCCCCCTTCTGCCAGCATTCACAGGGTACTCCGGAGCTCCGGGGGCCTTCTCAGCCTCGCCCAGACCATAGGAGGTGCCAGACGCGGGGGCCTGTCACCAGGGGTGGAGGGCATGGGGCCTCTGCACAGCACGTGGTCACTTTCAGCCGGATGCCACCTCTCACTGTTCCATTCCCTGGGGGGGGGGAGAAAGCACGGGATTAGGGGTCCCACCCTCCCCTCCTCAAGCTAATGGCACCCAGACACCCCTCCTGGCCTTACCCTGAGGTCTCACTAAGCTCCTCTCCCCAGGGTACCTGGTGGTGCCGGCAGGAGGAGGCGGAACCTTCCTGGGCGGCTTCCTGGTGAACAAGTTCAAGCTGCATGGCTCAGCCATAGTCAAGTTCTGCCTGCTCTGCACCCTGACCAGCTTCCTGGCCTTCTTCATCTTCTTCCTGCACTGCCCTAATGTGCCCATGGCCGGCGTGACAGCCACCTACAGTGGGAAGTAAGTGCAGGTGGGGCCTGGCTGGAGGGGAGACTCCCAACTAGGGCAATGACATGGGGACACATGTGTGTGAAGACATACCTGTGTGGAGGCACACCTGTGTGTGGGCTCACCTGTGTGTAGACTCACCTCTGTGGAGTCACACCTCGGTCAAGGGGAGGGCCAGCAAGACAAGGAGCACTGATGGGCAAGGAGGACACCCCCCAGGGCCAGTTCAGTCGATTAAGGCTCATTTGTAAAATGGCTCCAGGTAGCCATTAAGGACACCTGGGCTCAGGTCCCAGCTGTATGCCGCTGTGGGCCTCAGTCTCCTCGTCTATGCACTGGGACAATCACCGTCACCTCCCAGCGTCCTTGAGGCTTGTCTCCACGTGCAACCTCTAGGGTGGCAATCCGGGAAGGTCTAACTTGCAAACACACAAGCAGCCCGGGCCCCACCCCGCAGGCTCCCTCCCGGGAACCTGCCACGTAGATGTGCTCACACGCTGTGAGAGGGCAGAGGGACACAGAGGACTTGCAGTGTGCCTGAAACAGCAAGAGCCTGGAAACAACCTCGGCCTGGGCAGTAGCAGCCTGGCTGAACCACAGGGCGCTCCACAGTGGGTTACTACCCGGGCGTTCAGGGGGACGAGGAAGGCCTTTCTGGACCATTGCCAGGACACGCTGTCGAGCAGAAAAAGGAAGGGGTGGAACAAACAGTGAGTTGTGCTCCAGCCTGAGTTAAAAAAAGAGAAGGGAAGGTGTGTGTGTATGTGTGCTTGTGTGTACCTGCACACTTGTGTGCATACGTGTGTGTGTGTGTATCTGTGTGCGTGTGTTTGCTACACACATATGAGCCGTCTCTGGAGGTGCATAGCCGCTGGCCTGGGCTGAAAATGGGGGGCTGGGCACAGGGAGGGAGGCGTCTTTCCACCTTGTACCCTGGCAAGGGTTTTAAATGTGAATGCACAGCCTATCTGAAAAGTAAACACATTCGAGGCAGATAAGCTGCACAGGGTAAGTGCTTAGCTGTTAACCAAAAGGTCATTGGTTCGAACTCACCAGCGGCTCCACGGGATAAAGGCCTGGTGATCTGCTCCTATAAAGATTACAGCCAAGGAAACCCTACGGGCAGTTCTACTCTGTCACATGGGTCGCTATGAGTCAGAATTGACTCAAGGGCGCCCAGCCAGCAACAACGAGGTGCACAGGAGTCTGAAGAGTGTGGGCGTGCGCCTGGGATGCTGTAGTAAGATAATTACCTCGCAAAACGGGGACGCAAAGAGTGTCATGCTTGGAGTGGAGCCAGCTCAGGGCCCAGGGTGTTGACCGCACAAGGGCAGCACAAGGGCAGAAGTAGGGGGGGTGGGGACAAGACCCCAGACCGTGCCTGGGCCCCGTCTCGCAGCCCTCCCCTCCCTCCATAGTCCCCTGCCCGAGGGCCGCCTGCAGCTGACGGCTGCCTGCAATGCCTTCTGTGACTGCTGGCCGGAGCACTATGACCGTGTGTGCGGCTCCAACGGCGTCATGTACTACTCACCCTGCCACGCGGGGTGCCTGGCGGCAGCCACCACGGACCCCAGTGGCCGGAAGGTGAGTGTGGCCGCTGCCCGAGGCCTACCGTCCCCATGGTGGACCTGGGAGGGGCCCCTTGGCCCTACCCTCTGTAATCGGTGCTGTTGTTGGGCTCCCCAGGTGTACCAAGACTGTAGCTGTATCTCTCAGAATTTTTCCTCTGGCTTTGGCCATGCTACCACAGGAAAATGCGCCTCGGCCTGTCAGACAAAGCCCCTCCTTCTGGTTTTCATATTCGTTGTAATTATCTTTACATTCCTCAGCAGCGTTCCCGCGCTAACGGCAACCTTACGGTAAGAACCTGGGCCTGGGCCTCTTACATGGAATCTTCCCTTGCAGCTCCCAACGGCTGAAGCTCTGCAGATCCCGTGGCGGGCGGTCCTGCAGCAGAATGTGCCAGGCCCTGTGCCTGCGCGGACAGCATGCAGCTGGCTGCGCCAGGGCCGCCGGGGTGCTGGCCCCTGGGGAGGCGGGGAGGCGGCCTGGGGCTTGGCCGGACTCAGCCCTGGCGCCGGGGTGAGACGAGGCGCGCCTTCCGTTCGCCATAGCTGACGCTGCGTCTTCCTTACAGATGTGTGTGCGACCGGCAGAGGTCCTTCGCACTGGGCATCCAGTGGATCGTCGTTAGAACTCTAGGTACCACGCAGCGTGAGGGGGCGGAGCCGTGTACAGTCGGGTGGGGTGTTGCCTGCACAGTGGCACCGGCGTGTCCACTCAGCAAGCCAGGTGTGCACTCCTCGTTGTCCACTGGAGGGGCCTCCGTCATTCCATTGGCCAAACCAAAAACAAGAAACCAGTGGCCATCAGGTCGACCTCAGCTCATGGTGACCCCATGTGTGTCAGAGGAGAACCGTGCTCCATAGGATGTTCAGTGGCTGGGTTTTGAGATGTAGATCGCCAGGCATTTCTTCCAAAGTGCCTCTGGGTGGACTCGAATCTCCAACCTTTCAGTCAGCAGCCGAGGGAGTTAACCTTTTGCAGGACCCAGGGACTCATTTGCCCAGCAGGCACCTTTTCCTCCTTAGCTAAAGGTTCCATAGGAGCCAGAGACATCAGGGAATTTCCCAGCCCCAGATGCCAAGTCCCCACAGAAGTGAGAAGCACATCCCCCGAGCCCCCTGAAAAGAGCCCTGGAGGTGCAGTGGTTAAGTACACGGCTGCTAACCGAAAGGTCAGTGGTTCCAACCCATCATCGGCTCTGCAGGAGAAAGGCCTGGAGATCTGCTCCTATAAAGATTACAGACTTGGAAACCCCATGGGGCAGTTCTGCTCTATCCTATAGGGTCTCTATGAGTCTGATCTCTACAGCACACGTCACCCCTGAGGTCCACAGTGCCGCCCTCTCCGAGAGCCGCTTACTTGGTCCTGAGCCCCTTCTCTCTGCAGGGGCCATCCCGGGACCCATCACCTTTGGCTGGGTGATTGACAAGGCATGCCTGCTCTGGCAGGACCAGTGTGGCGTCCAGGGCTCCTGCTTCGTGTACCAGAACGCCGCCATGAGCCGATACATACTCATCACTGGGCTCCTGTACAAGGTGAGCAGGCAGGGGCCAGCGCCAGGGCGCTGCATGTCTGCCCCGCTGACCCGGCTTCTCCCCTCGCTGACCAGGGTTCTCCCCTGCTGACCCGGGTTCTCCCCCGCTGACCAGGGTTCTCCCCCTGCTGACCTGGGTTCTCCCCCCGCTGACCCGGGTTCTACCCCACTGACCCAGGTTCTCCCCGGCTGACCAGGGTTCTCCTCCCGCTGACCTGGGTTCTCCCCCGCTGACCTGGGTTCTCCCCCGCTGACCTGGGTTCTCCCCCTGCTGACCCGGGTTCTCCCCCGCTGACCGGGGTTCTCCCCCTGCTGACCTGGGTTCTCCCCCCGCTGACCCGGGTTCTACCCCACTGACCCGGGTTCTCCCCGGCTGACCAGGGTTCTCCTCCCGCTGACCCGGGTTCTCCCCCGCTGACCCGGGTTCTCCCCCCACTGACCCAGGTTCTACCCCGTTGACCCGGGTTCTCCCCCGCTGACCCGGGTTCTCCCCCCGCTGACCCGGGTTCTCCCCCGCTGACCAGGGTTCTCCCCCGCTGACCAGGGTTCTCCCCCCGCTGACCCAGGTTCTACCCCGTTGACCCGGGTTCTCCCCCGCTGACCCGGGTTCTCCCCCTGCTGACTCGGGTTCTCCCCCGCTGACCAGGGTTCTCCCCCCGCTGACCAGGGTTCTCCCCCCACTGACCCGGGTTCTCCCCTGCTGACCAGGGTTCTTCACCCGCTGACCTGGGTTCTCCCCTACTGACCCAGGGTTCTCTCCCTGCTGACTCGGCTTCTCCCCTCGCTGACCAGCGTTCTCCCCCCGCTGACCAGGGTTCTCCCCTGCTGACCCGGGTTCTTCCCCCACTGACCTGGGTTCTCCCCCGCTGACCTGGGTTCTCCCCCTGCTGACCTGGGTTCTCCCCCACTGACCAGGGTTCTCCCCCGCTGACCAGGGTTCTCCCCCCGCTGACCCGGCTTCTCCCCTTGCTGACCAGGGTTCTCCCCTGCTGACCCGGGTTCTTCCCCCACTGACCCGGGTTCTCTCCCGCTGACCCAGGTTCTCCACCAACTGACCCGGGTTCTCCCCCACTGACCTGGGTTCTCCCCCACTGACCCGGGTTCTCCCCCCACTGACCTGGGTTCTCCCCCGCTGACCTGGGTTCTCCACCAACTGACCCGGGTTCTCCACCAACTGACCCGTGTTCTCCACCAACTGACCCGGGTTCTCCCCCCGCTGACCTGGGTTCTCCCCCCACTGACCCGGGTTCTCCCCCCGCTCACCCGGGTTCTCCACCAACTGACCTGGGTTCTCCCCCCACCGACCCGTGTTCTCCCCCTGCTGACCTGGGTTCTTCCCTGCTGACCCGGGTTCTCCACCAACAGACCCGGGTTCTCCCCGCTGACCCGGGTTCTCCTCCCTGCTGATCTGAGGAGTCAGGTTCTCCCCCCGATGACTCAGGGAGCTGGGTGCTGGGAGGGCCTCTAGCGGCCACCGTCACACAAGCTCGGGAGCAATTTCCAGCAGGAGTCCTGCTGAAGTGATGGCTGTTGGGGCTCTGGAGACGCAGGGACAACAGAGGAGACAGGGCGACCCTGGGCATGAGAAGGCCCACGGGTCAGCCTAGGGGCTCACCCCCGAGATCTGTGCTTCCCGCAAGCATTAGCCCGCCTCCCAGGAGCCACCCCGTCACGGCCTCACCGGGTGCCCCGGCCTTCCAGCTTAGCTAAACAGCTTTGGAAAAACGGCACAAGGACCCTCCTGCGAGGTCCCCATGTGCAGTATGGCACTTTCCCCAGCTACAAGGAGCCTCAATGCGGCCATTTCTCACCCCGGCCCTCTGTCTTCATGCTGCTGAGAGAAATTCCCATGTGGTTCTCGGGCTCGGTTCCCTTGGCTCGTGCTGCCCAGGGAGAAGTGCAGTCTTTATGTTTTGGTGTTTTCCCCCCAAGAAGGAGAAGGCCTCAGACCTTGAAAACCAAAGGAAACCCCAGGGCCAGCGGTCCAGACCAAGGGTGGTGACTGGGCATGGGGAGGGAACAACAGGAAGGCTTGGCAGCAGGGCCCTCACCTCCGGGCTGGGAGCCATGAGAAAGAAGGTCCCTGGGAGCCCAGCAGTGCCCCGTGCTGATCCCTGCAGATTAGCGCAAAAATAGCCAAGGGCAGGACGGGATCTGGGCAGCCCCGGAGAAGCAAGAAAAACAATCCCCTTGCCATTGAGTCGATTCCGACTCAGCAGACTGCCACATTTTTCTCCTGCATTGTGGCTGGTGGGTTCGAACCACCGACCTCTCAGTTAGCAGCCGAGCGCTTAACGACTGTGCCACCAGGGCTCCTGTCTCTGGAAGAGAGCAACTGGTTGACTGTGAAATGACTTCTGTTCCCTGGAGTGGGCTCTGGGTTTTGTGCCTGGAGCTGCAGGCGTGGCAGCCACGCGGGGGCTGTACTAGTGACCCCGCCACACGGACCGTGCCAAAGAACAAGGGCTGCTCCACACACGTGTCGGTGCCGATTAAGGGGAGCAGATAGGTCTGCCCTCAGACAAGCGCCATGTGGAGGAGCTGCAATGGCGCCCTCCACGCAGGTGGGCTCCAGCGCTCGGTGCCCAGGTGGGAGCTCCCAGAAACTCCGGGGGCATTTCTACTCAAGGTCCCGTTTTCAGACGTTAAATGCATGTAGACGCACACAAGGGCATGTACGCACAACGGCCAGTGGACACGCTCAGAGTGTCTGCTTCAGAGAAGAACCCACATGTCCCTGGGCTTGGGGCTGGTGGGAGGCCTCAAATGTGCATCTGAGCCATGAGAAGGGGGGGTGTGAGTGTGGGGACCCCAGAGGACATTGTCTCCCATGGCCTCATACCCCCAAGTTGGCACGACCCCGTGTGGTAGGAAGGAACCCAGAGCCCAAAGGTCAGGTGACAGCCCATACGTGGGGGTCGAGCGTGGTCTGGTGGGAGCACAGCCTGGCCAGGTCTGCCTGAGTCTCCCAGGGCGGCTGCAGCAAAGGACCAGACATGAGCGGCCTGAACCCCCAGGAAGCATTCTCTCGGTCTGGAGGCCCGAAGTCTGCAACCAGGGTGTCAGCAGGACTCTGCTCCCACCAAAGGCAGGGCTGCTCCCTCCGGAGGCTCTGAGCGAGGATGAGCCCCAGGCCTCTCCCCCAGCTCCTGGCAAAGCCCCCGTTCCTTGGCTTGTGGCTGTATCACTCCAGCCTCGGCTCCCCCTCACACGGCCTCACCTGTGTCTCTGGGTCTCAGGCTCTCTCCCTTTCCTATAACGACACAGTCCTGGGTTTGGGGCCCACCCTAATCCAGGATGATCTCCTCATCTGGAGGTCTTGATCTTAATCACGTCTGCAAAGACCCTATTTCCAAATAACGCCACACACTCATGTTCCAGGGGTCAGGACTTGGACATACCTTTCTTCGGGGTGGGGGGGAGACACAGCCCAGCCCACCACAAGCTCCTCCCACCTCAGCCTGTGCCTCTGCTCTCAGCTGAATGTGTGCATCTGCCCTAGAAACTGGGGATGTATGAAGGCCTGTCTCCTCAGATGAGCGAGCCATGGCCTCAGGGCCCTGTGAGACCGCCGGGTGGGGGTGTCAGCCTGCAAGCTCCCGAGTGCGTGGTATCTGGACAAGGCCCAAGCCCAGCAGCTCCTCCTTCCCCCCCCAGGTGCTCGGCTCCCTCTTCTTCACAGCGGCCTGCTTCCTGTACAAGACCCGGTCGGCGTCTTCCGACGGCCTAGAAGCTTCTCTGCCCAGTCAGTCCTCAGCCTCCGACAACCCCACGGACCCTCAAGATGACTCCTCTGCCCTCCAGCGCCAGAGTGATGTCCTACCCCCACCTCCGGGACCGGCCAGCGCGGAGCCCGCTGTGCAGCAGGAGCGGGACGGACCCCGAACCTGTGCCGCCTGGTGAATCCCTCTCGACAGAGCTGACC